TCTCTCTCTCTCTCGGCCCTTCTGTCCTGCCCAGAACCAGGAGAAAGGACTAGAGGACTTGACCTTCCAAGGGAAGCTGTCCTGTCAGGCAGGGGCTGGAAAAAAAGCCATTTGGAGACTCTCCCACCAGCACGCAGAAAATTAAATTCATACCTTTAAGTTAATGTTTACAATGCCCAGGAAGCCCCTGCCTGCGCGTCCCTCTGCGCACACCCAAGGCCCCCCCACCCCGCCCCTGGTGCCTGGTCTGATGGGACACCGTGAATTAGCGCGCTCCTTGGGGAGCCCCCGTGCCCCGCTAATGGTCTGCGCTCTTCCAGATGCCCAACGTGCTCCTGCGCTCCCCAGAGCGGGAGGGAGGAGGGGAGGGTGTGTGACACAGGACAAGGCTGGAGAGGGGAGGAGGGAGACAGAAACAGCGGGGCTAAAAGAGGAGGAAGGAGAGGACCCTATTTCTGACCACCTAGGAACAGAGCGCACCCCTCTCCGTTCATCCTACGGAAAAGCCTTTTCAATGCAGCCACACGAGAAGACGCGAAGGAATCAGGGGCCAACAGATATATTTTTTTAAATGAAAGATCTTGTAAAACGCTCTGCGTGAAACGTATCTGTAGCTTCCTCTCCTAAAGTAAAACCGAGGGAAAGTTTTGTTTGCATGTGTTGGTTCCCATAACCAACCCCACGGGAACCGAAGGGGAATCAGGGGGCCGATATACGCGTTCGCTGGGTTTGTTTGCACCAAGGACAATCAAATATATATCATATATACAATATATATTTATATAACATAGATTTATATATACAATATATATTTATATAGCATATATATTTATTTGTTATTTGTCTAACACATACATGTGTGTACATTTGTTTGCCTTTGGTGCAAACGAATCCAATGAACCCATCCTCCAGGCCTCAGGCGTCTCCAAAAGTCCAGGAACCCCAACCCGCCCCACACCCCAACCTCCCCGCGCTCCGGGAACAGGACGGTGGCCCGGGCGGGCGCAGGTAGCTGTACGCGGGCCCCGTGCGCTCCGGAGGACCAGGCCAAGGCTCCGCACCCCCGGGGTTCCTACCTGCACGCGCGCCTCGGAAAGCCCCAGACGCTGGCTGAGCTCCTCGCGCATGAAGGCGTCGGGGTAATGGGTCTCGTCGAAGAGTCGCTCCAGCTCGTTGAGCTGCTCCAGCGTGAAGTTGGTGCGGCTGCGTCTCTGTTTCAGTTTCGTCTGCCCCTCCTCGTCCTCCGACTTCACGTCCTCGCGCTTCTCTTTGCATTCGTAAATCCCTGCGTGGCGGGCGGAGGGCACAGGGCTGAGGCCGGGAGCGCCTCTCCAAAGGCTCCCCGGGTCCCCTCCGCCCGCGCCCGCCTCCCCCAGCACGGCCCGCGGGGTCCTCCGCGCAGGCAGCGTGGCGCGCAGTGCGGGGAGGTTTTGCGCAACGTGGCGAACCCTTTCGTGCCTCCTTTGGTGGAAAGGGGGGGGGCCTTAAAACCAATGCGCCTTTACGCAAAATCTGCGTGGGGTCCCCAAGGCAAAAGCCGAGGAAACGACTCGCTTCTTCCCCAACAACCTGGGCTTTGCAGGAACGTTGGTTGCTTGGCCTCATCTCCGAATCGTTTCCTCAATTATCCACTTCGCCGCTGTTGACATTTCCTATCTTTTTTTTTTTTTTTTTTGGAAAGTGGGGTGTCAAGTCCTATTTTTAAGGGAAAGAATTTGAGGAAGAACTGCCAACAGTGGGGTCCCCGCGCGGGGCGCCAGAGAAGGACACGGGGAGGGCCCGGGGCGAGTGGCAGATTCTAGACCCACGGAGAGACGCTATCGCCACCGCTGTAGCGCAGCGGGGCTGGGGGTCCCTCTGGGATTTGCCGGAGCTGGGAGCCCCTACCCGGAGCCTATTTCTGACCCAGCACAGCAGAACCGTATCCGAGTCCCCGAAGTTACTTACACGCGCGCGGTTGGGCACCCACCCCACGAGGGTGCCAAAAATGGCACTTTCTCGTCTCCAATAATGGTGACCTGTCTGTATTTGCAGGGTGGGGGGTGGGGGGGAGTCAGAAGGGCTGAAAAGTCAGCACTCAAGCGTTTCCAGGCGAAAAGACTTTCCTTCCCAATTTTTTAGACATTCCGCCCCTGACCAAGCTCCGGGGTTTAAATAAAACGTGTCTCCCTCGCTCCCCTGCAACCCAGGGCTGGTGGAAGTGGCATCTCCAACGGCCCTCTGTTCCTATCTCGGGCCTGCAGGGCACAGATTAAAAGCACCCCACGCCCTAATTCCATGTCCCCTGGTGCCAAGGGTAAAGAGCTGACATTTGGCAATTCAGCCTGGAAACAGTCTCCAAGAAGCAATTGCAACCAAGAAACTTGCAAAGCTGACAAATTCAACATGCCTACAAGGGAACAGGGTAAATGCAAGTACCCTGTTCTGTCTTCCTTCCTTCCACCACCCACACCAGGGCCCCCTCCCCCCCAACCCCCAGCTGGATTCAGTCCTAGACACTTATCCCAACACGGAATTCACATTTTCTTTCACCTCCTGAAAGGCACGTGCCTGCAAGAACAGTCCGTTCCTTCCCCCAAGTGAATCGTTTCCTGGAGACGGCCCCGGCTCTCCCTGCTTCGTTTCTCTCAGTCTGAAAACGGCCAGGAATGGAGCCCGGCTGACACACCGGCCTTCAAAGTCCTGAAGCCCCCGCAGGCTTTGCAAAACCCAGGGACTCCCAGGGTCAGCGGGGACGCGCTCTTCCCAAAAACTCTAGGTTCCCACGGGGAGCATCTCCCCTGCCCTCCAACCTCCACTTAACGTGGATCTGATGAAGAAATACCAGGACGGGTTGCAGTCCGGCCCCGGCGGTCTTTCGGCACCCAGCCTAGGGCAAAGGGTAGCGGGGACTCCCTGTGTCTCCTCTCCTGGGGCCCTGGGGCCTTGGCCTGGTCTTTCTTTCCCTCTCACTTTTGAAAGACCTGGAGGATACTTTGCTCTCCCCGGTGCATGGCCAGAGGGAGAAGAAAGAGGAGGCCAGAGGAGGAAATCAGTGTCTGGGAAGCACAGGCAAAAAGCAACGCCACAGAACCGGCCTGCTGCGCACTGCACAGCCTCTTAAATTAAATGCAGGCCCTCCAGTCGCTCCCAGCCTTGGGCCCAGGAAGGCCAACTCTTTCTATATGAATTACAGCGCTGGGTGCCCCCCCGTAGCAGTGTGCAGGGACGACCCCTTAAGATAAGGCAGGCCGGGCTCCTGCCTCGTAGACGGTGGGAAACCGGGAACTGCTTTGTAAACCGTAGCCAGCTTTGTGCTTTGACAAAGTCAGGACCTCGGGAAGCAGGATCTGGTCAAGGCTATTTCCCCTAGAACGGTGCCACTCGACACCCAAGATATTGGGTCCGGGAGAGCAGGTAGCCCCCCAGAGTCTCAGGAAGAATTACCTTTGGGGGATGCACCCTCGCACCTTAACTCTGGGTATCAGCCAAAGCCCAGACTCGATTTTCTGCCTCTTTGTACTGGAAACGGGATAGACACTCCTATAGCCGTCTCCAGCTGCGCCTCTGACGCAGCTACAGCCCATTTTATTCTTAAGATGTACGGCGCCCAGTCGTCCCCTCTTTGTACAGCGATCCACAGGTCCAGACCCTCTGCCTGAGCCTCTTACTCCTTGATTTGCAACACGGGGCGATGCGCCCCTGAGGTTTCAGGAAGAACGGCCAGAGGGGAGCCCCGGGGCCCGGTCTGCGCCCCCCGCACAACCGGCTGCGCTCTGACAGCCTTGAGTGAGGACGCGTCACGAAGCCACCAGCTTCCCAGGGCCCCTCGTGCCCCATCCAGATCCCGGCCACCTGCGGGCACCGGAGTGGATTTGATGGATCCAAACAGTTTTAACCAAAAACAAGTCTCGAGGTTCAAAGGAAAAAAAAATATATATATATATGTAGAAAGTGTTCCTTAAAGGACACAGAAGCGAGCTGACCCGGGGCCTTCCCGTCTCCTACGGCGCAGCCTCCAGTCTTCCCGCGATCTGGGGCAGCCGGGCAGGCGCTGAGCGCTGGGAAGGCGCGTGGAGACAGCTCCTCTCTGCGTCTGGGGGACCGTAAATACAAGCCAGGCAGGCAGAGACACAAATGCACATCCTAAGCAATCAGGGCCCCAGGCCGGGCGCGGTGGCTCACGCCTGTCATCCCAGCACTTGGGGAGGCCGAGGCGGGCGGATCACCTGAGATCAGGAGTTCGAGACCAGCCTGACCAACATGGAGAAACCCCGTCTCTGCTAAAAACACAAAAACGAGCCGGGCGTCGTGGCAGGCGCCTGTTATTCCAGCTACTCAGGAGGCTGAGGCAGGAGAATCGTTTGAACCCGGGAGGCGGAGGCTGCAGTGAGCCGAGATCGCGCCATTGCGCTCCAACCTGGGGGACACAGCGAGACTCTGTCTCAAAACAAAAAAAGGAAAAAATGAAAAAGAAATCTCAGGCCCTACGGCCCAGCCTGATCCACCCCAGCCCTGGACCCTCCCGTGTCGGTGTCCACCCCCGCGGCCCCCGCTCCGACCCTCCCTGGGTCCCCCCCACACCTCCCACCCACCACCCCCGGCGGGTCTCCCGGAGCCTTCCCCGCGCGTCTCCGGCCGGGTCCTCTCCTCCCTTCTTTTCTTTCTTAGGCAAAGCCTGGCGGGCCCGGGCCTTACCCTGGCGATCCGAGCGCCGCCAATGTGCAGAGCTTACCTTCTGCTACTCTCGCGGGGCCGAATTCTTTCAGTTTCTCCTTGTCATTGTCTACGTGGTCCTTGAACAAATGCACCGGGCAGTGGCCGCCGCCCTCCGCGAGGTCCTGGAGGCTGGAATCCGACGTCCCCAGGTCCCGGGAGCGCGCCAGTCCGCTCTCCAAAACTTCCCGGTACGTAATGGAATCCTTCTTGCCTCCGCCGCCGCCGCCGCCGCCGCCGCCTCCTCCGCCGTTACCGTCCTTGCTTTTCTGGTCAAAAGACTTGGATACAAACGCCGTGAGTTCTTCCATGGCTGGGGGCCGGGGGCTGGCGAGGAGCCGGGGCGGGTGGGTGCGCGCGCGTCTCCCCGCGCGCGGAGAGGACGGCCCGGTGCGCGCGGGTGGATCTCACCACCGCGGTTATTTACGCCTTTCCATTGGAAATCTCACTATTTATACGCGTCGACCTCGCCCAGCGCCCCCCCCCCTCGCCGTGCGCTGCCTGTCTGGTGCAATTACGGGTCTCCGGGCTCCGCGGAGGACGCACACGCAGAGACGCTGTCTCTCCCCCACCCCACCCCACCCCCCCGCAACGCCCGCAATTGGCTTTTCTTCTCATTTCATCACTGTTTGGCGTCCGTACACCTTGGTGCGAAGAGGCAAAGATCCCACTTTGGGAAGGGAGACCGCGCGCGCGCGCAGGAGGGGGGCGCAGAGGCGCCCGAGTCCCCCTCCCCACACACACACACACACAGGTTACCCCGCGTGCTTTCCGTGGCTGCAAGAAAAGCAAACTCCAGCTTTTCCCTCCACAGAGAGAGACACACAGAGACGTGGAGTTGACGACTGGAGAGAGGAGAGTCCCTCACAGCCGTCCGGCCCCCGTCGGTCCCTGGTGGAGAGCCGAGCCCCGGAGCCTGGATCGTTCCAGGAGGCGCCCGGGGCGCACCGGGGCGGAGATGGCGAGACGCGGAGGGGACCCGGGCGAGCCGGGGACGCGCGATCTTGGGAGAGGATGAGCTCCAAGTTGGTGGCGGCGCGCGCTTGGATGGAGGGATGGTGAGATGGCACGCAGCTGGGGGATCCCCTAAAGTGAGACGAACACGGGCCGGGTGTCCCCAAAGCTGGACGCGGGCGCCTGGGAGGCGGTGGCGGAGGCCGAGGATTCCCCCGGGGCCCCCTCCCGGGTCTCCAGCGCCCACAGAAAGAAGCCCAGGTCCCCGGGAGATCCGGTTCGTAAAACATCAATTCTTTCCGCGCGCGCCAGACCCCGGAGACCCCGGAGCGAGGCCTCCACCCTTCGCGCCGCGCTGTCACCCTGGCGTCGCGAAACACCCGGCTTCCCAAAGCGCATTCAATAGCCACAGTCACGGAGCAACATCCGCAATGAAAACCACAATCACAAGGTATTATTTCCCCCCAACCAAGT